TGTATATACCACCTGTCTATATCTACTATCTGTCTGTATATACCACCTGTCTATAACTACCACCTGTCTGTATATACCACCTGTTCCTAACTACCATCTGTCTATAATCACCACCTATATATAATTATCATATGTCTGTTTATACTACCTGTCTATAACTACCAACTGTCTATAATCTACACCTGTCTATAACTAACACCTGTCTATAATTACAACCTGTCGATAACTACTACCTATCTAAAATATCACTTGTCGATAAATACCAACTATTTGTATATACCACCTGTCTATAACTACCACCTGCCTATAACTACCACATATCTGTATATACCACCTGTCTATAACTACCACCTGTCTATAATTACCGACTTTCTATAACTACCATCTGTATATACCTACCACCTGTGTATAACTACTACCTATTTATAATTACCACCTGTCTTTAAGTACCACATGTCTATAACTACCAACAATCAACTTCCTCACGATTTTTCCTTTAACTTGTTCCTTTATCTAAAAATTATAACTTTAAAAGGAAAAACGAACGTATGAATATCAGTAAATGCTGATAACAGCTATCTTAACTTTGAGCGTATTGGTCAAATAAATAAGTGAAAAATATAAAAGCTTGTTATATGTATACTTTTGCTTAAAACAGAATTTGTATTTTTTATTTCTTTTAATCATCATACTGTTTTGTGTCATGTGTGAAGGAAGAGATATTATTCTCTCATATTTGTTCGTGTATGATATATTCGTTGAGAACAGGGAAGTAGCGTGTATTTTTTAACAATAAAGATATTTATTGCGTAAACTTCCAAAATGATGAGATTGAAAAACAGATTTAATTTTAGCTGTATCATAAAGAAAGAAAATGTTTTCTTTGCGTAATTGAATTTTGGTAAATGTATGCCGAATTTTGATTGTCTGTTTGATTATTTTAATTAATTCAATTTTTGGAAAATTTTCATTTTTCGAAATGATCACCCGTCATATTACAATAATACTTTCTCTGTTTTATGTGATCGGGAACCCTCGGGTTTCTACCAGTTAGAAAATTGGAATTTTCCTATCCAACTCTTCCAGACAGAAATTTTGTTTTTAATCGTTCAGAGCACGAGCTGTTTTTGTATGTTAGGTTCATGAATTAATGTTATTTGTAACACATTTTTATTTATGTACCAAAAAAAGAGATAATTATATATATAACATAAGTATCGTGTATTTATGACGAAACTGATTAAGACTAGATATAATGCAATGTCTAATAAAAAAAACAACACTACAGGCTGGTGAACATAATCAGAATACTAAATCGATATAATTATCGTTTTATTACAAAATGCACACACTAGAAGTAAAAAGAGCAAAACATTTGATATGACTTTAAATAGGGAAAAAATACCAAAATACGTATGAAATCGAAAATATTTCTTTTTACATTTTCATGATATGTTTATATTTTAATATATGTTGATTGAATTTCCAAGCCTTTGTATTTTCAGCAAGACGAATTGATTGGTCCCCAACCATGGTTTTCTCCTCTACTTATTCTGATATGCACGAAGAATTGTAATGCACCATACCACATTTATCCTTTATATTGGTCACCCCCTTTAATATTCATTTATATAATTGATCATTTGTATTTAATTTTATTAGAAAAACCAAATACAGACCTTTTGATATGCTTATTGTTTTTCTTCATTTTTTTGTAAGAACTGTAAACTTTTTGAATATCATTTTTTTTAAGTTCGTTAAAAATACATCGGGAAGATGACATTTTCTTATTTTAATGTTGTTCAAGGCTTAAACAGCTAAATTATAGTTTTGTTTTCACTTTTAACTATCGAATCTATATGGTTTCATGGAGTAGGATGACTGTTTAGAATGAAGAGAGCCTAAAATAATGCTAATACGATGGAAAGGGTCGTTAGTAATTGTGAGTCGGTGTATTGCTTCAAGTTTACTAGGTTCAAATGTAAGACATACTAACAACTAACTCGCTGTGACCTACCCTTCATATTTCCGCTGACTATGATGTTACCTAATTAGAAAGCCACTGATTGTCCTATATCCCTACTAGAATGATGTTATAAGCAAATAGGGACGCTGGCCGCTAGGCTCCTACTTTGTCTACAAAACACTCAACAACAAAAACTTTTTGGCACTTTTTATTTTTTTGTATTTTTGTGTATTTTTTAATTTTGTTATGTATAAATCTATGTACAGAAGGCATATAAATGATAACTTTGTAGTAATTGCTAACCAGTAGTCCATAATCATTACGAAGAGTATCATTTATAACGTTGTGTCCGATGTAAAAGCTTCTCTGAAGTCCATTACACTTTGACAACAAGAGTCACTTTCTCTTTTAATAACGATGGGGATAATAAAATAGGAACGTACGCCTGGAAGAAAAATTAATCAAGGTCAGGATATAATGTAGATGCACTATCAGGTTCCTGTGTCCAAGGTGTCCATGTGCTGCTGACCGGAAAAGCGTTATCTCTAATATTTCGTGCCTGATCATGAAGAGACATACTAGATGTATCAAGTGATATAAGATACCTATGCGACCCTGAACTGCTCAGTAAAGGGTCGTTTGTGTTCACTGGTGATACCGTTGATGTCGTAACCGTCGTTTGTGTTGATATAACTGACGTTGTACACACTGACTGTGAACGTAAATGTGTCATCGAAACTGTGGCATTAGAAGCATTAGATGATGTTGAAGGATACTGAAGAATAGGTCTTGGCGATGCATTCATTTGCGTTACGCAAATGTGTGTAGGCGACGCAGTTGTTTGCATCCCTCTATACTGTGCGGTAGATGTTTGCGACGCGTTCATTTCCATCCCCGGATACTGTGAGGTTGGTAATGGCAATACTGTTGTTTGAGTTGCTGGACACTGAATGGGATGTGTTGAAGAAGCGCCTGTTTGCATTACTGGGGAATGTGTGGTTTGTAATGGCGTTGCAGGCCTGTTTATCACTGGGTAGTTTACCGTTGATAAAGACAGTGCGGTCGATTGTATCGACGGAGACTGAATGGCAGGTATTGACGACGCGGTTGTTTGCATCACTGGAATCTGAATGGCAAGTATTGAAGACGCGGGTGTTTGTAAGACAGGAATCTGAATGGCAGGTATTGACGACGCGGGCGTTTGCATCACTGGAATCTGAATGACATGTGTTGACGACGCGGTTGTTTGTATAACTGGATTCTGAATGGCAGGTATTGACGACGCGGTTGTTTGCATCACTGGATTCTGAATGGCAGGTATTGACGACGCGGTTGTTTGTATAATTGGATTCTGAATGGCAGGTATTGACGACGCGGGTGTTTGTAAGACTGGATTCTGAATGGCAGGTATTGACGACGCGGTTGTTTGCATCACTGGATTCTGAATGACATGTGTTGACGACGCGGTTGTTTGTATAACTGGATTCTGAATGGCAGGTGTTGACGACGCGGTTGTTTGCATCACTGGATTCTGAATGGCAGGTATTGACGACGCGGTTGTTTGTATAACTGGATTCTGAATGGCAGGTACATGTATTGACGACGCGGTTGTTTGTATTACAAGATTCTGTGTTCTTTTACCTGATGCTTTCTGTCGTTTTAAGCTGATACCGGGTACGGGATTCGGACATGATCTCTGCGGACAAATCAAGTTATATGATAGATATTTATACCAATTAAGAGAATACCGGAATATAAGTAAAAAGTAAAGTACTAACGACTCAATAATCACTCAATATTTTTTTTTTATATAATTTGAATATTCATGGGATATCTAGCGAATGCACTGGCGGATTACATTTAGTAGCATTGCTTATATTATGTATCAGCTAAATAGCAACCATGCTATCGAATGTTAACAAAGACTATCACACATGCCGTTAATTTATTTTGAAAGGAAAGGAACATTGCAAAATATACCTGTTATTCAAACGTGCTACTCAACAACTCTCACATTTTTTTTCTTTCAAATATTGTAAATTGGTAAATCTAATTTGGGGTATTAACTTACCTTTAATCTTGTTGATTTGTATTGTAAACATTCTCTGGCAACTTTAAGGGCAGATTCCTATTCACCAAACAAAAAAATGATACCTTCATGTTAATCATCAATTTCACTTTCACTATCCACAGAATATCATTCGATCTTTTTGTTAAGGTTAATTTTCTATATAAGTTTTCACTCGGCTTCTGCTTTCATTTTCGTTTCATTTTAATAGCAGATTTGACTTCTTCATTTAATAATATTGTTTAATCTGTTTTCCTAGTTCGGGATCAGAAGTGATCATTATTGGATATCATTTAATATTTACTTACCGCATCCAGTGACTTCATAGAGCGAAACGTTTTGAGCTGCTTCAGAAATGCTGGAAGTTGTGCTTTTTTGCATTTCTGTTAAAAAAACAATTATGACTTCTGTTAGTTTGATAACAAAACATCAAGGCAAACGATCTTTAAAGGAGTAATCAAGCCGTATTATTCATTTTTGTTCGTGAAGTACTTTGTTATACCTTACAGATGCATCCGTAGTCTGCCTTGAACAATATAAGTTAATCAATTGGATATTAGAGTGATTAGTAGGTTAACCAATCCCACATTCGAACTACAGTAGTATTATAAAACATCGTATATATACTAAAAGAAACGCACAAAGAGTCCCCCCCCCCCCCCCCCCCCCCCCCCCCCCCCCNACCTTAGCTGTAAGGAAATAATGGAATATTTGGTCAGGTAATACATCAAGAACGACATCTCCCTTCTCAACAATATATTGACTGAGGCGAAGCCGAGGTTAGTATCACATTTTCAGGTTGATTGCACATCATATTTACCAGCACAAAAACCAATAACTGTTTTAGTATATGCTTAAAAAATAAATACGATATTACAGACGAACTAATGCGTTGAACGATAACTGTGATAAGCAATTTTCAATTTTCCCTTTGAAACTTCTAGGAAAATAGAGTAATGAACAATACATACCTGTTCCAGTTCGTCGTATAAACTAAGGAATCGGGTACATTCCAGACCAGTGAACGTTTCCGCTAGAGGCAATCCAAAAGAACGCAGTCCATGTAAAAATATTTCCTTTACCCAAGGAATTTTCAAACAGCCAAGATCTTGTTTCATGAGTAAACGTAGGGCATGACATTGGTTTATGATGTCTGAGTTACTGCTTTCTAATGCCATCATTTCGACACACAAAACAAATTTTTCACTTTTTGATAGAAGTTTGTATATGTCCTTTCTGAGAAGACATGATAAAGCTGCAAAAAACATTGACCATTTTTCTGGAGTTGTCAGATTAGTGTTCGGATTGACAAAACAAATGTCTTTAGGCCAAAACGTTGGTCGCACCTTCCAGTCTATTTTTGTGGCTTTACATCCTATTTTATTATCCCCGTTATCGGAAGTTGCATTACATTGCAACTTCCCAACAATAAAACATATAATTTGACATATTGAAGAGTCCAATGCGGTGGCAGTCACTGCCGCCATGTTTAATGCGATCCTCAAGGCTGAATATCAACGTTACCGTCAGTAGAACGCTGCAAAGTGATATGACGCTTGCAAATGGTATCTGTGTGCTGTCTAGATCCCTCAAATCGGTCGATATTTCTACTTGCCTCTCTAGAGTTGTCTCAGCTTCGAAATTTTGCATGCATTCCTGCAAAATATTTTGTAAGAATATCGTCAAAATCAAAATCGTCTTCGGTGCTAAAAAATATACATGCAATAATCAATATGTTGGTCACATTTATCCGACAAACGATTGATCAGTAATTAAGTCAAACTCACATAGGCCTACATTGAAGATAACAACATTTCTTATACAAACAATGATTGTCATCATAAAATTTACCATATGCTTAAATAATTCAAACACATTTTGTAGACATATTTCCAAGGCACGGACGTTGTATGAACCAAATAGGAGAAAATGAAATAAAAAAATGCCAACTTTTCGTCAGGATTCTAGCAAAGTACACTTTAAGGAAATCCTATCTTTCAAATCGGGCTCATAGTCCAAAGAAGTATTCAACACGACATACCCTTATTCGCTCTAATAGCTGTGTGTACACTGTCCATAGATATTCCTGCCGTTTCTTATCGGCGTGTTCCTAAAATTTAAATGAAATCTATTCATATTTGCTCTGCAATCCTTCTATTGGCATGCATTGAGAAGCCAAATATTATTGTGAGACTATAACAACATTTGCTATTGTAACGTCATCAATCTCTTTTGTGATGTCATCACTTTCATTATTATCAACACTTAATTTGCTTTTCAAAGAACTGTTCGAAATAACTGAATAAAGCATAACTACTCTATCAAAATGTAAATATAAATAATAAATAATTTAGCAAATACTGTTATGGTCCTTAAACACACATTTCTATTGCTGACAAACTTACATATAGCCACAAGTTTGATAAGTTTGTCATCAATAGCAAAGTGTGGTATTGGATCTTAACAATGTTTGCTAAAACATTCATTGCTTAAATAATATGAACAGCTCCACTCCCTTACCAGAATACTCTTTTAGTATTTTTATTTCTGACACAAATGACACTTAGAAACCTTTATGCTATCTACTCATAAAAACAAATTGAAAGCAGATATGCATTAGCATAGATATGTTTATAATTTGTGTTGTTTATATTGGTATAGACTCTCATGAAAAATGAGATAAGACAACTAGTCTCTTTTGCAATTTCTCTTGAATCATTTGAACAGTTCGTACTTGATCATTAGGGTACTTAGTTCCTCTAAATAAAGTTAATGATAGTGCCAGGAAGAATAAATCACGTTTCCCTCAATATGTGACATCACGGGAATATTGTATGATGTTCGCAGCAACCTTAGAACTGTTTTTGATAGATACCTTTTTTCAACAAGTCAAATGTAGTTTCAAAAATGTTATAAATGAATATACATAAGTTTCCTTGAAGTCAAAACGAAGATGAGAACGACTTGAGAACAACCTGAGAATACATTTTCCTCCTGTGATAATTTGTTTACAAAACAAAATAAGGAACGTAATGCAACGAAAGAGGGAATGAGTAGCAATACAAGCTTACTATCAGGGTTGTGGAGCCATCAGTTGAAGATGGAAAATGTTTTGAGAGAAGACGAGTTACCTAACGATGCAACTGTTTATGTCCAGTAAAAGATCTCGTAGGACTTGAACTTTTAAATGAAAGAAATGACATGGGCTGATACAGATTATCGACGATTCGGAATATGGATGGAGGACTATGAAGGAGTATACAAGAGTGTTTATTGCCAAAAGTCCCGAGGAGCAGAACTACATAAGAAGTGCTGAAAACAGAGCGGGAAGGAAATTAAAGAGCGAAGTAGCCATATGACTCGTCATAAAAATGGAGAAAAATCTAGGTGTCATCGAACGCGCGCAGTTAGACCGAAAGTGGTGGACTTCCGGTTCTAATCAGGAACCGAAGCCTGCTTTTTCAGTATTGTAAGCCTGGACATTGGAGGGCAGATTCCCGAGTTGAGTCTTTCAGCAGAGCATTGCAAAGAAACGAAAAGATAAGTATACAAGTAGATGGGGTCATAATATAATGAGAGATCATAGAGGCTGGACAGTGATACCAGCAGGTTAAGAGCTACTCCAACAATGTTAGAGGTTTTACACGGCGAAAAACTTTTGACAGGCGCCGCGTAACCTATTACTTCCCATAGCTGATTTTCCCTATGCTGATTATCACATTTTCAAAGTTCGGATTAAGAAAGAGTGTATCGTGTTTACATACATTTAAATGGTCAAAAGGGTCCAATAAATATTCCTTTCCATAAATCCATGATTTTATGAGAAAAATTTCATGGCAAAGACATAAATAATGAATTTTTCCTCATTCGAAGCGAAGCAGACAGCATTTGCCATGATTTTTCCGGTTAATACAAGAATGGATTACATGTTATGTTTCACAAGCGGAATACAAACAAACTCCGTATCATTTCGTTCCGTTTGAAATCCCCCCTGATATTTTGTATTAATCCAGAAGCCATTTTTTAAATGTAGGTCAGAGATGTGCTACAACGACATGCACATGTATTTTGAGTGTTCTATTCCGTAATGTACTATATATTTGTGTCTGTGACATATATATGAGATCTATATTATATAATTCGTGAGTAGACATCGTTGTCATGAACTGTTAACCATTTATGTGAGTTTTTCAAGCCGAATTTGTTCCGGCCGGATTTCGGGCGGAAACTGCATCAAAGAATTAGTGCTTCGTAAATAAGAGGTCGCAGTCGGCAAAATCATATCCGATTGAAAAAAGGCCGACCAGCGGCCTCTCATGTTATGGGAGTAGTTAAGAGCATGAGCGATCAGTTGGTCGAAATAGGCGCTTCGCCAAAAGTTGCGAAAGTAGTAGGCATGGGTTACAAGTTACTAGGGAACAAAATAAAACAGCGTTTAATTTGAGCAAACGATCTGTAAGTGATGAATGGGAGATGTTCCTGTTTAAATGATTGCTTTGACGTATATACGTGTGACGTGTTGGAAGCCTTTACAACACAAAATGTTAAAAAGATTATTCGCGTAGGTGGTACCCAGGCACATCGTGGGCAGACACCTTTTTGTACGATTGGTCCAGAGATGTAAATTGATAGTGTCCACCTCTTCGAATAATTTGTCGGGTCCTTAGCAAATAAGCGGGCTTCAAGAACTTAAGTGATTCTATTTTGGAAATGTGCATCATTCTGGCCTAGGTTATATGACGGGAACAAATACAAAACATGTATATTTGAATCTATGTTACTGAGTGCTATAATACTGGGGAAAAATGAAAAATAAATGGTATATTTGGAAACAAAAATAGAAAGTCCTGGCTTGGAGCTTCATATGTGCTCCAAGAAGTTGTTTTTTAATTTGATTAATTTTCCAGATCTACGAATGATGAATTCAATTAAAGAGGAGGCATCATAAATCGAGATGATGTCGGCAAGAATGTGCGAGCTAGCTGCTATGTATAGCGAGACACCTGCTTAGGAGCAAAAGCGACAAAGCCCCAGTACTTTGTAGCTTAAAAAAGGAGGGGGTACTTTATCGAGTCAAAAGATTAAGGTGCAGAGGCTATGCCTGCAAAACTATTCAAGTCGCGTTGTATATCCCATTAAATATTGATAGAAGCGGATCGACGTCTGTTGTTCGGTCAGATGCTCTAAGGATAAAGCGAGTAGCATGTGAATTTGTCCTATGATGTTTGGCACGTGTCAATGGTCCCTGTCAGTTAAGACCTGTATCATTGAACCAAAAGTAAATATTTGTTGGCAAAAAATAATTTGTATGCATGTACATGCTGAACGAAATGAGAAATTGCTTATTACGAAAAAGTCATGAGGTTTGCCCAAAATTTTCCAGTTTTTTAAATTTTTACTTCTATGGAAAATTGTTCGCTCTGTTGTTGTTTTTTTTATCTTGGAATTATGTTTTATGTATCAATAAATGAGGATGCATGTAATTTATACGTATCATATCTAGTCTGATACAAGAGAGGCCTTTAAGAACATTTGATATTTCATAATTTCCGACTTTACCACCGCTAAAAATAAATTTCCACGCGGCCATATTGCAAAAGAAAATGTTTTGTTTTATGTGTTTGCGGGCATCATATAAAATTGGTAAATATAGATATAGACTGAAACACTAGACGCATAAGCAGAGGGAAAAATATGTAAAAATACCTACTGTTGACATTTTTATCCATGATTATTAATTTTCGGATCAGAGTTCGCTTAGGTGAACAACATAGCGTTTAAGTTAGCGTTTTGATCTTTTTAATGAACCGCAAGAATTTGAATGAAAGTTACTTTTTCGTGCCATAGTAAAATCACTCCAACAGCTGTTTCATCGATGCAAACACCGGCGCTTTGAGCGAAATGCCAGCGACCTAGCCGCAGGTCTACAATCCTAGATCTCGTGTTTATATGGTTTTCCGAAACTAAAAACTATTTCATATCGCATAATCAAGTCGTTCATTGATTTTATTATTTCAACCTTACACTTTCGCATTACAATATTCTTATTGTTTTGTTACTATAATAGGATTAATCTTAATAATTAACTTACCGCGGTGGCCATCACGCCTCCTGCCAGTCCATGACACAACCCAACGGCCTGCAATTTATGAAAATAAAATATATTTTTTTGTTCTTTTCTTGTTAGTACCTAAACTTTGATATGCAACATTAAGGTAACTTTACATTATTTACTATTTGTATTTGATGTTACAGTAAAATACGAGGATTATGCCGTAGAGGTAATAAACTAAACAAATATATAAGACAGAGTATGAACGTCGCAATCTTAAATATTTAAAAGTTTTCACGCTGTAACTTTCATGCTGAACCAATGAGCTGGATGTTATACCGATCATGTATTATTCGTTTATTTTGATTATGTAATATATATTAAAAAGTATTAGTATGCTATGAAAGACAGGTCTAATATTTGCATTTTCTATAAAATTTGATGCATTTGGAATCCGGATATATAATCATACAACACGTTGACATTTCCAAAAACTTTAAATACATCAATTCCAGCAAGCTGCAGGTCACTAGTTTTAGATGTAGGATTCACATTTTTTTTTATTTCGTCAAAGTCCTTTTTCCTCTTTTAGATATAATAATTCCTGCAACATTCAATATGTATGAAGATATTTTCTTTTAACCAATGCAATGNCCCTTCGACAACCGCAAATCGTGTTCTATATCGGTTTCACCCGAGGGAGCTCCATACGGCTAGTTGGTTGAACGATCTCGGGATGAACGTTTCTAATGCAGTGAAACATAATATCCATACTAAAATAATGGATATAACTATTAGGACCGATGTTTCAACTATCTACATATTTATTGAAATTATTTGGTATTTAATTGACCAGGTGTTGGGGCTTCTGTCTGTACATGCATGGCGTTAATGCCTCAGGTACAGCTTTAACCTCCAACGTTGGTACCAGATCAGCTAGTAGCATACACAACACATTTTACAATGGAACTTGTTCCAGACCTTTATGTTTTTAATATTAATTTGTAATGGCAACCATAAAATTGATAAATTGTAACCAAAATGCCCCCCGATTATAATATGTTATGAACTCTGCTTTTAGGTAAGTAGGCAAACACTCTTCTAGAAAAGAAAATTTCAAGGCGGGGGAAATGTCAGGTTTACTGATACTAGGTAAAACTCCAATTATCAATGTAGTTCCCGAAAATCTTTACCAGTGCCATTCTGATAAATCATCGATTGATGAGTAAGTTTTAGGGTTTCGGTCAGGTTTTCTTTTGTCCTACCAAGGCCTTCCTTGTGCATAGTTTATGTAGAATAGGTTGTTTCAATTAAGGAGAATGAAATAGAGGCATACAGGCACATACAGAAAGAATTTATTGCTGGACGAGTATCAGACCCTCTGGATGATCTCCCTTTGTCAACATTAAACATCTCTCCAATGGGTCTTGTTCCTTAACATTGTTCATAGGGTACCTAATTATTTACACTTTTTAAACAGATTTATTAGTTTTTCCAAATACGTCTCCATAACGATTGGATATACTTTGAACTAAAAGATGTACACAATCAGGGCTATGTCTGGTAATGTGACGTCATAAACGCATGGGGATGGGGGGATTTCGTTCACTTTACAGTTGTGCTATTCTTAGTTGATATGGCGATTAAAAGTTTATGTCGAATTAATTCAATGTATTTTATTAAGAGTTGACGATTTCCAAATACCAGATATAGTAAGCTCTAAATAAACATGATAGATGTTTATATGGTTTTCCGAAACTAAAAACTATTTCATATCGCATAATCAAGTCGTTCATTGATTTTATTATTTCAACCTTACACTTTCGCATTACAATATTCTTATTGTTTTGTTACTATAATAGGATTAATCTTAATAATTAACTTACCGCGGTGGCCATCACGCCTCCTATCAGTCCATGACACCACCCAATAACACATCCGCTACCGACCAGGGTGGCCTGCAATTTATGAAAATAAAATATATTTTTTTGTTCTTTTCTTGTTAGTACCTAAACTTTGATATGCAACATTAAGGTAACTTTACATTATTTACTATTTGTATTTGATGTTACAGTAAAATACGAGGATTATGCCGTAGAGGTAATAAACTAAACAAATATATAAGACAGAGTATGAACGTCGCAATCTTAAATATTTAAAAGTTTTCACGCTGTAACTTTCATGCTGAACCAATGAGCTGGATGTTATACCGATCATGTATTATTCGTTTATTTTGATTATGTAATATATATTAAAAAGTATTAGTATGCTATGAAAGACAGGTCTAATATTTGCATTTTCTATAAAATTTGATGCATTTGGAATCCGGATATATAATCATACAACACGTTGACATTTCCAAAAACTTTAAATACATCAATTCCAGCAAGCTGCAGGTCACTAGTTTTAGATGTAGGATTCACATTTTTTTTTATTTCGTCAAAGTCCTTTTTCCTCTTTTAGATATAATNAAACTTACCACGGCGGCCATCATGACTGTTGCCTGTCCATGACACAACCCACCGGCCTGCAATTTATGAAAATAAAATATATTTTTTTGTTCTTTTCTTGTTACATTTTAGTACCTAAACTTTGATATGCAACATTAAGGTAACTTTACATGATTTACTATTTGTATTTGATGTTACAGTAAAATACGAGGATTATG